GTTTCTCTGATTCCATAGCTTCTTTTCATTACATCCACGACAACCTTGATAGGATCCATGTGTATTTCCTACTCTATGAGATGTCTCATTAAGTTTCCCTTTTGGTAGCTTGTGCTTTAGTAGCTTAGCAGCCTGGCCTCTAAGGAAGCACCATGCTTACCCCAAATAAGTTATACTGTAGATGTCAGTTCAAATTAAAAACAAATTTGCTGTCAGGTCACATTCTGTTACTTAGTCATCCCCTCATTCTTACTCTGCTGGGAATTCGGTCCAATTTGAGACAAAACAAAATTTCAGGCACTGTTCCAAGCCCTCTGATATCAAAATTGGATAGCCATTGCCAAGAGCTTTTCCAACCTGTCAATTCTCCTTTGCTGCTCTCTTTAAGGAAGTTATTCCCTGTCTCAAAGGCCCTGCCTTAAAAAGAGGGGAGAGGGCCTCCTTGGTGACACAGTGGTTGAGCGCTGGGTTGCGAAGCTGCCTGCAGCATCTGCAGTGCCGGTTCGATCCCCGGCCACGGGCAAGTCCCACATGGTGCGCAGACCTCTCCTGCTGCCGGCTGCTCCCCTCAGCAGTGTACTTCGTCAGTCTGCCTGCTCTGCTCCCCACTCTGGCTCTGGTGAATTCTCTCACCCTCCCACGCTTCTGACTGTACCCCAGTGCTTATATAAATAAATAAATAAATCTTAAAAAAAAAAAAAAGAGGGGAGAGGCACAGTCCACTGAACAGTTTGTGCGGAGTGCCTATCGTGTGTACTAGGGGAAGGGCATGTGTATATCTGGGGTCTCATCAGCAATTTTGAGCTAACTTCATGCACTAGATTCTCTTTCCTTCCTTATCTTGATGTGATCAAGAATCTCACAACCTTTATCATATAAGGCCTTTCTGTGCCTCTCTGCCCTGATTTTCTTTAGTATAACCTATACCCCTTTGTACTACCAGGATTGTTAAGGTTTGCAGTATACACTGGGTATTCTCTGACTTCTGCCTGAAGCACTGCCATTTACACCCAGGACAGTGGGGCATTCTGGGAAGCCTGCTTTCACATTGAATAGAGAAATTAGGTTTCCTCTTCACCAGAATCTGCCAGAGACTAAATATTGATGTGCAAGCCCTGGCTTATGGTTACATCTATTTGCAGATCAACAGAACTATCCAAGGCCCACTGTCACCAGAAAGAGGCTTTCATCATAGAATTACTAGTAACATATTAACTGTTCATTACGTGCCAGACATTGGGCCATCATTGTGTCACTCACTGCATCCTCACATCAGGCATATGTGATAGATTTTACAGATAAGAAAATGAGGCTAGGGCCTCCCCGGTGGCGCAGTGGTTGAGCGCTGGGGTTGCGAAGCTGCCCGCGGCCTCCGCGGTGCCGGTTCGATCCCCGGCTGCTCCCCGGCCACCGGAGGAGGGTCCCACATGGCACGCAGACCTCTCCTGCCGCCTGCTGCTCCCCTCAGCAGTGTGCCTCGGTCCTTCTGCCTGCTCTGCTCCCTGCTCTGGCTCTGGTGAATTCTCTCACCCTCCCGCGCTTCTGACTGTACCCAGTGCATGTATAAACAAAACAAACAAATAAATAAATAAATAAAACATGCCTCTATTAAAAATATATATATATATTTTAAAAAAAAAGAAAATGAGGCTCAAAGAGATTAAGTTATGTGTATAAGTTCACATAGCTAATTTCTGGACCAAAATTTGAAGCCTGACCTCAAAGCTTGTGTCACGCCCTTCCCTTCAGGGACCTCGGGGAAGCATTTAGGTCCCAGACCCCTCCACTTTGTTGTTCCCTCACCTGAGACAAAATATTTCAAGGCAAATAAGAGGCATAGGATCTTTGAAACTGAAGTTAATTGTGTCCTTTACTTAAATTCCAAAGGTTATTCTTTGTGTCAAAGAAATATTTATGCACATAGGATCTTTGGGACAGTCTGAAATAGGTAGGTATTTCCTGGACTGTGATCACAGTTATATTTAGTCCTAGGAACTATCGAGGTAGCTGTGTAGCCATTGAGTGACATTTCCATGAGTTGTATGTTACTTTCAGGAACATAAAACTTTTATTCCCATATTGTTTTAAGAAGGAGTAAAAGTTCCATTTTATAGAGAGAAGGTTGAGATTCAAAGAGGTTAGGTGAGTTGTCTGAGATCAATTAGTAAGAGTAGGATTCCAGGTCTCAGTCTGTCAGGCTCTTTGTGAGGACCCAGGTTCCTCTCTACTGAGAGTCACATGTGGGGGTATAAGGATTCCTTAGAGAGTATGTGACTTACAGGCAATTCACTGACTTTGAAGCTACCATGAGCTGAGATGGTGGCCATGGTTCTTGGCAGTCAACAAGTCCAATAGCTGATAATGAAAGTGGACTTGTACTTTGGGGTTAAACTATTGTCTGTGGATTAGGGAGGCATCTCAGCCTAGGAGAGGCCTTTGGAGTTGCACGGGAGCCAGAGTATGAGACGGCAACTTAGGGTAAAAGCTAAGGCATTTAAGCACGAGGGCTCTGGGAGATTGCTCTCTGCCTAGGGCCTGCCCTTGCATGTCCTAGGTCAGTGTTGGGTATGAGGCTCTAAATGGGATATGTTCCTAAAGTCTGAAGCTACAGAAAGCAAAACCCCAGACTAGGAAAGTGCCCCTTGTGCTCTGAAGTCCTGGGACTAAGCCCTGAGCTTAGCATGTGGTCTTCTTGGGAATTTAAGAGAGGTCATAAGGGCAGGCAATGGCAGAAGCAGGGTGAAGGGCCGCTTTCCCTGGGCAAAAGAAGACGAAAGGAAGGAAGCATACAGAGCCAGGGAAGGAAGTAACAGTGGGCAAGGTCTAGACAAGAGGACGACAACTGAGGTCATGCCCTAAGTCTAGTCTGGCCTCTGGTTTCCTTCCAAGAAACTGGTAAATCAGGAACATCTGCTTTCCTCCTCTGTACAAGTAACCGAACTAAGCTGTACTAGCAAAAAACAACTTTACTGGGAAAGGAAAAATTCCTGTTCTGAGTAGTGGATAGAGATCTTGGCCCTTCTAGTCTGCCCTGGCAAGAAGAGAAAGCCCAGATAATTGAGGCAGTGTTGTCTCAGGCCTGAGGCTCTCAGGATGTAGCATCTCTTGACATGCTATACCTTCTCAGAAATTGGTTTTAGCATGGTATTTGTCTTTTGGCACCTGACACCCCTCAGGGAAAGTCATGCCTAGGTTCCTGGGTCATAGGCATTGCTGAGGCTACCCCAGAGTTCAAGGTTTGGGAAAGCATTCTTTTCTGACTGGTTCTTAGTGGCTGGTTCCATCTTGGAGGAATTTTTCCTTTTTTTTTTTTTTTAAAATTTATTTATTTATTTATGTATACAAGAACTGGGGTGTAAACCAGATGTGTGGAGGGTGAGAGTATTCACCAGAAAGAGTGGGGAGCAGAACAGGAAGATCTATTGAAATACACTGTTGAGGGGAGCAGCGGGCAAGGCAGGAGAGGTCCACTGTGCCATGTGGGTCATCTCCCTGGCCGGCCAAGGATTGAACTCCTGCTGCAGTGGCTGGCAACAGCTTGTAGCACTGTCTTTAACCCCTGAGGGAGGTCCCCTGTATTTTCCCTTTTTCTGGGCTTAAGCCACTTACTTCTGCGCCAAGACCTTGGCTGTAGATATTCCAGCCACAAGCACAGCCCACGTGCATGAGAGGGCTGGATTATTTTGTGGGTGACTGCTGTTGCTGGGTAGCAGTCCTTCTGCCACCAGAGCTGACAAATGGAATTAGAAGCAAAGAAGTCAGCCTATATGAGGATCTGTAGGGAACAGCCAGGAAAAAGGGACCTTGAAAAGCTGGGTGTCTGGAAGGTAGGAACCTGAACCTGAAACCGAGGCCAGACCTTTGCCCTAGTTGTCCCTTCCCCCCAAACTTGGGACACAGCCTTCCATGTGTTCTCCATTCCTACTCTCTCCTCAGGAATTTTTGGCAAGTATAAATGCTTGCTACCAAGTGTCTTGGCACAGACCTGAATTGGTGAAGGAAACAACCCAGAGCCACTTTTCTATCCCTCAGGAGTCTGTCCTCAGCCCTTCTGACTAGTCCTGATTATAGCATGTTCTTTTTTTCTGTTGGAGCTGAGCCTCCCTCCTCACTTGCTCATTCTTCCCAGGCTCCCTACTTTGCTAGGAGCTCTCCATGACATTATAGGCTACCCTAATTACCATAGTGAACAGTCATTCCCTCTCCTGGCCTCTCCTTTCTGCCCAGCTCACTTCTTTTAACTTGATGTAGTGCCCCTCCTACTAATAATCCTTGCCTTTGATAACATGTTCTTATAAACTAAAGTCACATCAGTGACTTTGGTAGTCTGGCTTTGGTAGTCTCACAGAGATTCAAGGTTCCTGGAGTCAGCAGAGGTCTGAATCCACCCCCATAGAAAGTTAAAGGCATGGAGGGGGCGGGGCCCCTCATCAAAACAAAAGATGAGGTTGGCTCTAGTCTAGAAACTCTTTTCTACACTCAAGGCTGGAATGCCCAAAAGTTCGATCCAGGCAATGGATAGGAAGGCTGAATTGGCATTAAGAGATGAAAACAAGTGGCAGATGGTTCTGAGGAACATCCCAGAACTGAAGAAATGTGGTTCCCAGAAAGGGAAAAGGAAGAAGATATTGGCAAAGTCATACTCAGCAACTGTGACAACCTGGCCAGAGAAAGCCAAGAACACATTATGGTATCAGGAATACTTTTGAGCTTAGACACTCACTGTTCTGTCACCTCTTCTCATGCTCCATCCCCAGAGTAAACAGCCTTGGTGGCCAAACTGGGCTGGTCAAGAATGTCAGGAAATGGAAGAAATTAGCAAGGGGTCCCAGAAACCTGAGGAATTGCTCCCTATGACCAGGCTTTTTCCTGGATGATAAGCAGTGAGCAGAGTCTCTTGGGAGTGTAGCCCCAGACTGCCAAGCCAGTGGGACAGCAGGAGGGACATGGGGGCCAGGTGACTTGCGGTTCGTATGGCCTGAGCCCTTGACCTCCCCTAGGTGCTGGAGGTGGTGCGAGCCAACTATGACACACTCACACTGAAACTGCAGGATGGCCTCGACCAGTATGAGCGCTATTCGGAACAGCACAAGGAAGCTGCCTTCTTCAAGGAGCTGGTAAGTCTGCCCACCTCCATCTCTGCCTGTGTTTCTTGGGTATCCTTTTCTAGCCACTGGGTTCTACCATGCAGGTGGCCTGTAGGGAACAACAGCAGTTTGCCAAAGGCTGATGGTATGAAACTTAAAGGTCTGCTGGGTCGGCCGTATGACTTCTCTTCCAGAACAGCCCAGGGCAGGGAGTCAGGCTCAGGGTGTTATGCCAGGCTGGTAAGGGAAAGAAGCCTGAGGTTGCAATGCTCACCTCTCCTCATCAGCCAACCGAGATGGCACTTGCTCAGCTCCAGCAGGACTAGGGTTTGATCTACGTTGCCATAGGCAGCTCTGGCTCCTTATCTTGTCCTCAGAGCAACTAATGAGAGTCAACAGCTCTTCTCCCTATGCAGTTACTTCTTGCTCAGTTCTTAACTGGCTCCTGATCTGAGGGCCTTCCCAACCTAGTGATATTGTCTTCACTCCCTACCCCTGTTCCCACTTTTCCTGCAGCCCCTATACTTGGCCAGTAAGCATTTGCTCTGCCTCCCACTCTCTCTCCCTGTCAGCATCTCCACAGAACTGGGTTCCCACTTTGATAGTCCTTTGCTGCCCAGTGCTCACAGCTATGTCAGGAAAAGCTCAACCTCCCTGTGGTCTTGCCACTCCACCTACCTGATCAGACACACACATCCTGGTGGGAGACTGAGACCAGAATACATAAGTCTCTATGCCCACTTCCCACGTCTTCAGACCTCCCCCCCCACACCCTGAGGCAGAACTTGAATCTGCCCTACTTTTACCTCCCCATGCCAAGTCTGTGGCTGGAGTTTAAGTTCATCTCTCTGTGCTAAGCACAGCCCAGCTGTGATCCTGACATTCCTAGGATTTTGAACTTCCCCAGGGTAGGGGGAACACTAGTGTGGGGAGATAGCAGAGTATTTTTATTGGGTAATTAGCAACTCTTTAAATTGATGTGGGGGGGGGGCTTCCTGGTGGCACAGCTGTTGAGCACTGGGTTGCAAAGCTGCCCGCAGCCTCTGCAGTGCCGGTTCGATCCATGGCCGCAGGGTGAGGGTCCCACATGGTGCCCAGACCTCTCCTGCCGCCCTCTGCTCTCCTCAGCAGTGTACTTCGTCAATCTGCCTGCTCTGCTCCCCATTCTGGCTCTGATGAATTCTCTCACCCTCCAGGGCTTCTGACTGTACCCAGTGCTTGTATAAATAAATAAATAAATCTTTAAAAACAAAATAGATGTGGGGGAATTACTGGGATCAAGACTTCACAAAGGACAGTGAGTTTTCAAGAGATGTAAAGGGTTTTAGAAGAGAGAGTGAGAGGGGCTGTCTGGACACTCTGACACTAACCTCTGCCTTACTCAGTTCTCCTTGTATCTGTCTCTGACACTGCAGTGAAGAGGGTCTGGTCAGGTTTGGAATTAGAGAGCTGCCCGCTGTTTGTCATGCTGCCCTTTCTTCTGCTTCCCACCTGGTGACATCATCAAGTTTCCTATAGCAAAGCAGAAATTTGAAGCCAGGTCTGTTGGACTTTGGGACTCAGGAGAGATTCTTTTTCTCTCCCACTCCCCTTTGTCTCTTATACCATTAGAACTATTTCTCATGGTGAATCTCCCTCCAGAGACTTCTGGACTCTTCTTAGAACCCACTCAGAGTAGGGAGCTTGGCCTCTGGCCCTTCTCCACAGGTCTTTTCCCTGGCTGACTCAGACAACACTTCCTGCAAAGTTCTTTCTAAGTCTGTGGGTAGAAAGCCAACGAGGTGAGCAGTGGGGTCACAGAGACACTCTAAAGTAAGGAGGCATCTTTGTGCTTTGGGAAGAGTCGTGGACTAGGAGTTAAGCAGCTGCATCTTGCTTCCAAGTCCAGCCTCACTTGCTGTGTGACCTGATTCTGGTCTTCGACTTTCTGGGCTCGTTTTCCTACTCTCTGCGCAGGCCATGGTTGCATCTCTAAACACATTCTCACCCGAGAAAGGAGATAAATAGGGAGAGTATAGACACTAGAAATGCATCTGAAGAGAGGTAGCTCTAGAGCATGAGTCCTCGGGCCTTAGTTTCTTGACCAGACCTTCTGTATGGTCAAGGCAAGGACCACGGCCTGACCTTAGCCCTCCTTCCTGTCTGCACTTCCTTCTACCTTCTCAGGTACCCAGATGTTCTTCTCACACCCACTTGAGTTTCTGTCTCTCAGCCCCTCTTTTCTTCCACTGTCATGGAACTGTTTGCTCATTTGCTTGTGTGGCTCATTTGCCTGTGGGGATGATAGCTGTTAAGGGTTCATTTCCTAAGAGAGAAACTTCTAGCATGGCTTTGTGTCTCAGGCCATCTACTGTTTTTAACCAACTATCTCCTTGTTTTCTTTCTACCTATGCCCTCTTACCTCTCCCCACCCTTTCCCAGGTTCGATCCATTAGCACCAATGTCCGGAGAAACCTGGCCTTCCACACACTCAGCCAGGAAGTCCTGCTCAAGGAGTTCTCCACTATCTCCTGAAGCTACACACATCTGAGCAGCCACTGACTGCCCTTACCCATGAGGCTCCTGAGCTGAAGGGATAGTGAGGGGAGAGGGGCTGTCCCCCAGGCTGGAGAGAACAGATCCCGAGTCCTCTCGGTGAAGCCAGCACTTCAGTGGAACTTGGACAGCAGGGGCCAGAGGGGCAAGCCAGGGATAATCTTACTTGGGGAGGGGTGGGTGGGCAGAGGGAAAGCCTTCAAGAATGAGGGACTTCCAGGGTGGCTTTCCTGGATACCCCCTCATGTTTCCAAATGAGATTACACATTGTGACTCCTGACAAATTTTCAGGAGCTGTTGATGCAAACCTTAGGGTGATGCCAGCAACCTGAGGGGCAATGGTTTTCTTAGGCTTTTGAAAACAGACTAACTCTCAGATGTAGTGGAGCTGCATTCTTTTTCCTTTGGGCATGAAGCTGAGCTAAGTTTGAAATCTTTGTCCCTTTCCCTCTCTGGCATTCTGTCCAGTCTTTAGGACCCTTAGCTCAGGCTTAGGGTAGGATAGGAATGGCGTTACCTTTTTTCTATTTTCTAAATCCAGAGCTCCTGGGAGACTAGAAACTAGAATCCATCCAATACTCTGCTGCCCGGCCACCACTTTCTGGATTTCATTCTTAGCACCAGGAGTACCTGTTAGCTTTCCCCTGCCTTCCAACCCATTAACTCACCCACACTATAGGGCTACAACCTTAACTTTTTATTTGCAGTCTGGTTAAACTGTCTTTAGAATGTGTGTGTGAAATAAACATTGACAGGTTCTCTGGAGCCCTCAGGTGCCTACTTTGCTGGTTCCCTTTCCAGCAGCTCTCCCACCTCTCTAGCTACCCCCTCCTCTGGGAGCCTCTCCTGCCTGAGCTGAGCTCCCCTCCACGTGTTCCACCCCCTCACCCGGCTGTTGTTTACATCCAGCCTGCCTGAGAATTTCCTCTGGGGAGGAATCTGTTCCTGCAGTGGTCTGGTGCCTGGGAGGGAGAGAATCTGCCAGGGGCCAGACCCCTGCCATCTGAAAGAGGCCAGGTGAGCATGGAGGAGAGGCCATTCTGTCCACCTGCATGGTGGATGAACAACAAGTAAGTCTCCTGACCTTCAGGAAGTTGGCTGTAGTTCCCGTTTCAACAACCTGCATTGGGAGTACTGCAGACTTTTCCTCCCCAACTGCTGCCTCCCTTTCTAAAGCCCTCCGGATGGCAGGGAACAGGTGGCACTGGAAGTATTTGGGAGTAAGTGCAGGCCTCCAGCAGTGGGAGCAAGTCTGGGAGCCACCCAGCTGCAATCCCACTTAGACTCATCTCTTTGGGACAACTTGCTCTCCAGGAGAACTAGAGTTCTGGCTCCAGCGCTGAGCATTGATACACTAGTTCCAGAGACTCCACCGATATGCTGCCATGTATAGGTGTAGATTTTTAAGAAATCAAGGATTTCTGATCACTAGATGGAGAGTTCAACCTGGGCGTTTAGTGTTTTTCACTGTGAGAAACCCCAGAGGAGCCAGAGCTGGTGGCAAGTTTGAAGTTATTAAAAATTGATTTGTATGGGACAGTCTTTTTAGTGTCTTTTTTTCCCCTTAATCTCTATTACCCAGAACTCATTTCTCAAAGACAGTTAAGATCATTTACCAGATACTGATCCCATCTGGCTAGAGGACCCCTGCCTGTCCTTATAGGTAGGTTCTCCTCTTGAGTCTCCTGACCCTAGTGGAAGCCAGTTTAGTCTAGAGAGTTGTAGCCTTCCCTTGTCTTCTGCTTTGGATTCCTGCCAGCCTTTCCTATGAAGTGAACAAGGGCAGGTCTAGGACATGAGGCACTAAACAGAAGATTCCCTCCATTGTAAAGGCCCACTCCTGGCCCATTTATATACCTTTCCTAAGGATTTCAGACAGGAGTTCCATCCTGTCCTAGAAATCAACCCCAAAAGAAGTTGCCCATGCTCTGTCCACACCCCAGTGTCTGAGCCAGGGTGAGACAGGAGCCAGGCATTGCTCTAAAAGACAATCCTTTCCTCAGCTGTTTGTCCCTGTCTCATGCCTGAACTCCCACCACAATTCCTGCTGGGCTAATTGAATCAAGTGGTTGGAAATTAAATCCAATTGAAGAGATTAAATGTGCAGGGGTCACTTTAACTGAAGCTTTCAGTCTCAGCAGGCCACTCCTCCAGAGGAGCCATGGATGGGCAGGCAGGACTACCTGGGACATTGTCACCATACCATCCAGAACTTCGGACACTCTGCTTCTCATGGTGGAGGGAGGAGGGGGCCCTTCTAGGCTAGGAGCCCAGAAAGCATTTTGGAGAAGGTCAGACAAGTAGGCTCAGTCATTCAGTAGCCTTCCTGGAAGCCTGACATAGCCCAGCTCTGTGTCAGCCCCTTGCCTCAGAGAAGCAGCTGATCTAATGAAAGGGAGCCTCATAAGAAGGGCATTTCTACCCACCCAGTCCTCACCTGGATTCCCAAGGCCTCAGTCACTCCCCAGATCTTCTGGAAAACAGAAGAAATCTAGGGCAGGTGAGAGAAGAGCAGGAATGTTGAAAGAAAAAAAAAATTAAAGAATAAAAGAGCAAGAAAATCTTGAGAAACAGAAAATTTCTTCCCAATTGGCCAACGTAGGTCATTAGATCAGGGAAGAAGGTACTCTGAGAGTGATTGGGACCCAGAGCCAGGGTCTTGAAGTGGGTGAGGGCTGGGGTCCCTATCAGAGAAGAGAAAATTGTAGTCCACTGGCCTGAAAGTAGCCTGTATTAGAGGCTGGGTTGACCTTTCTCTCCTTCAAGCAGGGTGAGCCCTGGGGGTGAGGGTGGGGGTGGGGGTGGACCCACAGAGACCCTTACATGGGATGGGAGCAACAGAGAAAATAGGGGCTGACATGGAGATTGACAGAACTGGAGGCTCTGAGACCTACCCCTACTGGGGCTTACGCTGGGAGGAGTGCTTGAAAATTGGGGGTGGGGTTTCCTCACTGTGAGATCCTTTCTGTCCCTACTCCCTTCTCCCTCAAGATTCGCGGCTTCTGGCTTTGGGGGTAGTGTTGCCTGAGAGTCAGTCTTCCTCCCGCACTTCCCAGCTCACCCTTTCACCGGGTGCCTCCTGCGAGCTGCAGAGAGGAGGGGGCGGGGGAGGGGAGCCAATCCCGGCAGCGCCAAAGGGGGGAGGCGGCGGTGACAGTCGCGGGGAGGGGGCGGGAGCGGAGAGGCAGCTCGGCTCTGCTCAACGCTCGGCTCTGCTCTGCCTCCAGCTCTGCACTCACCTACTGCCCTAGCCACTCGCTCCTGCCCCAGGACTCCCTGGTGGGTCCTAGACCCCAGGCCCAGACCCAGAACTCTGCCCTAGCCCGGACCCTCCCGGCCCCCAGGCCCCGCTGCATTCTACGCCGCCAGGGGGCGCCCTGTGAGCGCCCTATCTCGGCCACCTGGCGCCCCCTCCCACGGCCCCAAGCGGGACGGGAGGGGGGCGCCGGGGGCCATGCGGGGCCAGGGTCGCAAGGAGAGTTTGTCCGATTCCCGAGACTTGGATGGATCCTATGACCAGCTCACAGGTGAGTCGGTGGCTCAGGAGGGAGGGCAGAGTAACCCCCCTACACACTCCCCCTTATTCCCCTTTCTGACCCCTGCCAGGCCCTTACCCACACTCTGACCCCTTCCCAGGCACCCTGGTAACTATTCTGGGGCAAGACAGTGGGATTCAAAGCCTTGGGTCCCAGGGTGTGTGTGTGGAGGGGGGAGTGAAGGGGAGCAGGCAGGGCAGGTGGGGAGAGGCAGCAGGTGTGGGCGAGTGTGACACAAGGCTGGGAGGGTGTCTGGAGTGGGAGGTGTTACGTGTGTGAGCACCTGTCATTCTTTGTGTGTATCGGTGTGTGCACCTCCAAGAGCTGGTTGCCATGTGCCCTGAGCTTGGTGACAGCCGGGATGAGTGTGACTCTGTGTGACTGTGCAAATGTATGATCTTGTCAGATGTTTGAGGTCGTGTCTGACCCTGCCTGTACTAGTGAAGCTGTTTTGCCCATGTGTCTCTGTTCTATGTGCAGCCTATGTGCTTTGAGTGTGTGCTTCTGTATCAAGTGGCATATGGCTCCCAGACTGTAGCGGGCTTCACTTTATGGTAGTATGTCTCTTTGTGAACATCCTGGGACAAGAATTTGTTAAAGTGAGTTCTGTTGTGTTTTGTGATCTACGACTGTGTGCTATGTTAGCATTTGCTGTTGACTGTATACTTTCACATGGTAATGTCTGCAGTGGGGCTCTGTGTCTGTGACGTCTCTTGCCCTTGCTGCCTCTCTGGCTTCCTGGTGCAGAAGAGGTCTTTGGTGCATTGCACTGCTTCCCCATGTTTTCCACAAATAGCCTAGGTGGACCCAAGAATGGACTCTGGTGCCCAACTGCCCAACCTAGCTCTCAGGAGCATCTCCCAGCCTAGCTCCCTGACTCCTGAGAGAAGACTGGTTAGGACGGGGGCAGCCTCTCCCCGCCCCCCAAAAAAAAATGTGTTCAGAGGTCATTCTTACACCTGAAGTTCCTTCCATCTCCAGCAACTGTCCCCCATCCCCAGAACTTCATAAAAACCTTTTGCCTCCTCTCCAGACCCAGAGATCGAAGCTCTAGGCTAGGAAGTGCCATGTGGCCTCTCCTTATGTCCTCCCAAACCACTTTGCTGCCCAGGCAGCCTCTCTCTCCCACATTGGGGAGGTATGTGAGAGCAGTACATCTGTGCCTGTGCATATTCCTGGGTTTGGTAGGCAGATCCATGTGTTTGTGTGGGTGACTGTGTCACCTTGTGTACATTTCCATGTCCGTGTGTTTGTGTCTCTCATCATGCAGCCTACCCAAGAACTCCAACAAAGAATGGGCGGAGGGAGACCATCTCCCTTGGGTCTGGAACAAGCTGGGGAGATGGATGGAGTCCATGATCCTTGTCAACCCTGAGGAGAGTGTGGTTAATCATGGAGGTGAGAGAGAGGACTAGGTCATAAAGTGTTGAATATCCCCCCCACTCCCTGACTCTGGGGAAGTCCTAGTCCCTATACCAAGGTCCCCAGAAGGGGGAGCCCTCCCACTCTGGCAGGAGCAGATGTAGGAAAGTGCCAGATGTGCCCTGGATGAGCCTCAGAAAGACCTCAGTGAAATCCAAAGGTCCAGTTGTCTGGCTGTGCTATGGACTCCCATTCACACCACCAGCTCAGGATCCTTAAGAGTAATGAAGACCCCAGGGCCCTCATTAGCATCACATTGTCAGTGTCTGCTTCCTGCTTTTAACTGAGATTCCCCTTTAATGGGAATCTTCCCCTCCCACTTGGCTATTTGACATCAGAGATTTCAACAAAGCAGAGGTTTGGGTGAAGTTCTGAAAGTACTTGTATTGGAAAGTGGTGCAGAAATGGAAGCATGAGTTCCAGCTATGTGTGACTTTAATTCTCTGGGCCTCACTTTTCTCATCTGTAAAATGTGGAATACTATTTCCTACTTGCCTGTCTTCCTAAGAAAATGCTGACAAGTGTCGAGAATGGTGGCACGCCATCAGCATCCTCACTGTAGAGAGCTCCACACACGACTTGGGAAGTAGAAATAGTACTACCAGGAGCTCTCCTTTCGAAGGAGGTCTTTGAGCGGGCGACAAGCAAGGCTGGGAGGCCGGTGCAGTCTCGGCCCAGGTGGCGCTAAACGTTCCCTGGTCGCCGGAGCTGAAGCCCGGAGGGGAGTCGTTGTCCGCGGTGCTGAAGAGCGTGCCGGGCCGGGTGCAGGGGGACCATCCCTGTGCGGGCGGGACTCCTGAGATCCTTCTGGCAGGCGTGTTGTGCTGCTGTCATCCCAGCTCATCAAACTGTTAGGGAGGGCGCCATAAAGTTAACTGAGGGAATCCTAGGTCGCCCTCAACTGCCCACCTTCCCCACTCCCACCCCAGACTCAAAGCCAGGGAAAACTTTTTTTTTTTTAAAGATTTATTTTATTTATACAAGAACCGGGGTACAGGCCAAATGTGCAGGAGGGTGAGAGGATTCACCAGACAGAGCGGGGAGCAGAACAGGCAGACGGGCCGAAGACACTGCTGAGGGGAGCAGCGGGCGAGACAGGAGAGGTCTGCCGCGCCATGTGGGTTGCTCCGAGGCCGGCGGGGATTGAACCGGCACTGCAGAGGCTGCGGACAGCTTCACAGCACTGCGCTCAACGGCCTGCGCCACAAGGGAGGCCCAGGGAAAACTTTTTAGGGAGGAAGCACAGCTGCGCCCCACCCCAGTCCGCGTGTGCCGCGCGCTGTCTTCCCGAAGGTCAGTGATCAGCCGTGGGGCATCAGCTGTGGTGCTCTCCGAGTCAGAAACAAAGAAAGGACTGGATTCGATGCGGGGGGAGTTTGGGACTGACTAGCCCAGGCCAGAGCGCGCTTCCTCGGGCCTGGGGTCTCCGTCGCCGCGTCCCTCTGGCCGTGAACGCCGTTCCCCGGAGTGGGGCGCCCTCGTGTGGCCCAGCGGAGCCTCGCTTGCGGGTCTGATTCCGAGTGGGGATGTCACCAAATCTGGCGGCGAGGTTCGCGTGTTCCGGTTACCTGACCTCATAAATGTAGGGTTTTCGACCAAATGTAGGGATCCCAATCGGAGACGGAGGGGCTGTCTCTCCTGTAGACTTTCGCAGGAGTTCGAAGGCGTTGGCGGGTCTTGGGAGGGGGTTCTCTGGGTCTAACCTGAGACGGAGGAGTCCCCGAAAGAGGTCAGAACAGGGACTCGGGGGGAGGGGCTTCTCCTCGATGCAGTTGGCTGGCGGGAAGCCTGCGCCGCGGGAGTCTGCTCAACTCCCAGGACCAGGACAGACACACACGGACAGTCATGAAGAAAGGGATGCGGGACCAGGAAACAGGCCGCGAGGCCACATTCCTGCCTGCCGCCTCTTCTTCGCCTCTCCAGCAGCGGCCAATTCCTCCTCCTCGCTTCTGCTCTCCCAGGAGTCCAGAAGTATGGAAGTGTGGGGAGTTGCCATGACAACTATGGCCCCTCATCCTTTCAATCTCTGTGCCAAAATGGGAGGAGGCGAGAAGGAGGGGCTGAAGAGCGACAATGAAAGATCAGGTTCATTCCTCCTGCGGCTCCTTTTTCAAAACCTCTATGTGTCCCTTTTCCCCGCCAGGAATCCAGAAAACATTCCCAGAGAGGGTTGTGGGGAGAGTGCGTGCCTCTCCTGGCCCTGCCCGCCCCAATCTGAACTTTAGGGACTGGCGCGACAGATGATGGAGTCAGGGTGAGTTCCCTGGAGCGGCCGGAAGGAGACCCGGGAGAGAAAGAGGCTCGGCCCTGCCAGTCCGGCCCTCCCGCGCCGCCCACGCAGGGCCACTGGGTGGGGGCGGAGATGCGAGCGCCCCAAGCCTTGGGGGTGGAGCTTGGCCACTGTGCTCTCTGCCGAGCCATGAACCGATGCCCGGGCAGGTGCCGGAGCCCGCTGGGGCAGGCAGCGCGATCCCTCTATCAGCTGGTGACTGGGTCGCTGTCGCCAGGTATGAGGAAGGGAGGGAGGGGCAGGACCCCTCAAAAGTGAGCAAAGTGGAATAGGAGACTTAGAGAGGTGGGGAGGGAAAGGATCCCTCACAGAAATGGAGGGAGCAGGATCACTCCAATGATAAGGTTTAAAGGGTTCGACCCCGCAGAGATGGAGCTAGGTGATAGGGCCACTTACAGGGAAGGTGGAGGAGATAGGGGTCGTCAAAGAAGAAAGGAGAGGGGGCATCATGGTCCCTGACAAGGATGGAGAAGGGGGGCAGGGCTTCTCACTGAGAGCAGAGGGGGCCTCCTGCAGGTGGGTGAGAGACAAAGCCCCTTACAGGGAGGAAAGGTGGCAGCTTGCAGCAGACCAGGGAAAAGGCACGGGCTTTTACCAAATTGCTTAGGTTAAGGGGGCCCTAAGATCCCCGGAATCATTGTCCAGAAGGAAAAAACTCTGAGGTGGGACCAGACCGACAAGAACTCGCTAGTGAGTTCATGCGTGATGAGATGGACAAACTTGCGTGACATAGGATTGCATGTCACCGTTCTGTCTGGCTCTGGAATATACAGTGCCGGGGTTGCGCATCACTAGGCTGTGATCTCTGGGGTGGGCATTTCTGTGACACTGTGACTGCATGTGCCCGAAGTTCTATGCTTTAGTGTTGGGTTGGGGGTTCCTGAGTGGCTCTAAATTAGTTGTGTAGCCTTCACAAGGTTGTACCTTGGTGTGGGATTTGTGGAATTTCTGACATGTAGTTTGAGTACTATATCGTGGCACTGCTGAGACTGGCATGCAACTCCACTTGGGTTTCCTTTGGGTGTCCTAATCGGGGCCAGGAGAGCCCCACATCCTCTCCCACTTGGCCTAGGGAGACCAAAACAACTTGGTTCATGGCATTCTGGGATCTGTAGTTCTCTGGCTCGTTCCATGATATCTTCTTGAGCCCCCTGGAGTGTTAGCAGGGCCTGTGGCCTCTTTTTCCCATGTGCTCCCCAGAAGGAGAGGAGATGGAGGGTGAGCCAGAGCCTTGCTTGGGGAGCATGCATTCCCCCAAGCCCCCTGCTTGGGCCTGTCTCCAGTGACAGATGGCTGGAGCCAGGCAGAGCCAACTCTCAATCACAGCAGGCAAGACTTCCAGGCCCCAAAATAGCCCCAAGGCCTAGGGAGGTCATTAATCACCTGATGCAGCTGGGGGCTGCTGTGTCTTCTGGTCTGGCTGGAGATGGAGTGGAACTGGAGGAACTGCGAGCGAGGGTCTGGAGTCTTCACTGGCTGGGTAACAGTGGGCCAATGGGAAAGTAGAACAAGTGGCATAGGGTGGGTCTCCCCACCAGTCAGTGTTACTCCCCATTTTATCTGCGTAAGGCTAAATGACTGCATGATAGGAGTATCTCTGTGGTGAGATTTGAGTCACCTGGGGAGGGCTCACTTAATGCTTCAAGATAGTTTTCTCTTGAACCCTCACTCTGCCTGAAGTGCACCATTGAGACATCAGTCCTTTAAATGGATAGCTAAGTGGCACTGGGATGCTAGAAGGAAAGACCTGGTCAAGTTTCTCACAGGGCCCTGAAATTTGAGAGTTATCTGGGTAGTGAGAAAGGGAAGCCTGAAAAACAACTGGCTCTTTCATTTCTGACAGGCCGTCACACCAGAGATATATTTGATTGAGGACCTGAGTCCCTGGGAGGCTGGGTCAAGGTCACGGAAGGCTGGGGATGGAGGTGAGAGAGGAAAGAGGAGGGTTCAGGGACTGGACAACTGGCTGCAAGCCTATGAATCAGGAGCAGAGTGCAAGGAGGGGCTGCAAGCCTGCCTCTTTCAACCTCAATAACCTAGCCTGGCATTCAAATCCCCATGGAATCTGACCCTCGGGTCTTATCACTCACCACTTCCTTAATGTGAATTAAGCTACAGTCACCCAGGATTCCTCAACACCCCTACATACACTGAGGAGACAGCCTGAAGAAATTGACAGATCATTGCTTCTGTTGTCTTGATGCATCCTTTATCCTCTGTGTTACCTTGGGAAAGTCACTTCTCTGAGCCTGTTTCCTCAGCTGCACCCTCACCATGTCAACTATGAAAACAGGAATATAAACCCTTCCTTTCAGGTTTATTATGAGGACCAAGTGAGATAATTTATATAAAGTATCCAGGACACAAAATGTACTCAATATATGTTGATCCCTTTGTCAAAGTGGACTGTTGATATTTTAGCCATCTTTTAATAACTAGCTCAAAAGTTACTCTCGCCAGGTTTGTCCTAGCCTCCCAGTTAGAGAGCTTTTATTAGCATTCATGTCATGGCCTACTTAGAACAGTTCCTACCTTGTAGTAGGCACACAACAAATATTTTTTGATGTCTTATAGTTCTCTCAGAGGGCTGTTTCTCCCCGCCCAGTTAGGAACTAGAATCCCGTTCGATACACCTTCGTTTCACAGGAACCCCCTGTGCCTGGCATTCAATTGGTATAGGTTCAATTTGTAATCTTTGCCCTCTAGGAGCTTAGAATCTAGTTGAGGAAAAATAACTGATCTGGAAAGACCTGGCTTCAAATCTGCATCATTTCCTCTTAGCTAGATGAACTTAAGCAATTCCTTTGCCTCTCTGCACCTTCTTTACCGCATCGCTGAAATGGGTACAATGCTGTTCACTCTGCCTTCCTTCTGGGATTGTCTTGCCATCAAGATAACAATGTGGAATTGTGTGTGTGTGTGTGTGTGTGTGTGTGTGTTTTAATTTTATTTTTGCGTATAAGAACTGGGCTGTAGGCCAGAGGTGCGGAGTGGTAAGAAGATTCACCAGAGACAGTGTGGGGAACAGAACAATGTAATGAAATACGCTGCTGAGGGGAGCAGCAGGCGAGACAGGGAGGTCTGCTGCGCCATGTGGGTAGCTCCCTTGTAGGGAACAGGCCAGGATCAGGCTACAGTGGAGATAGTGATGAGACCTAACCCCAAGGCCACCAGGGAGGCCCCTCAATGTGGAATTACTAAGAGCTCTAGAAATGTGGCAGGGAGGTAGGAAGGGGGGTATGTTAACAATAATTTTAACAAACACTTTAGCAGTTATTATTGTGTCAGGAGTTAGTCCACCAGATTTCCATATATTTACTACTCCCAGCAACCTTGAGCTGGGAAACTAAGGCACATAGAGGTTAAGAACTTGCCCAGGTAGGGGCCTCCCTGGTGGTTCAAGGGGTTAAGACACAGCACTCTGAAGCTATCCACAGACACTGCAGCACGAGTTCAATGCCTCTGGCCAGGGAGCTAACCCACAAGGCGCAGCAGACCTCTCCTGTCTCGCCAGTTGCTCCCCTTAGCAGTGTATTTCAGTCACTCCTTCTGTTCTATTCCCCTCTCTGTCTCTGGTGAATCCTCTCACCCCCCAAACCTCTGGCCTGTACCCTGGTTCTTATATGCATAAATAAATAAATCTTAAAAAAAAAAAAAGAATTTGCCCAGTTAAATGCAAGTGGCAAGCTGGGATTTGAACCCAGGGAAACTGGCACCCTGCCCCATGCTGTTTATTACCTATCTCCTTTTACTGTTATCATTAATAACACTACGGAACAAGGTGCTGAGTTTTGAGGGCCTAACAGTGAGTTCAGTAGAAATTCAGCAGTCAGGGGGCCTCCCCGGTGGCGCAGCGGTTGAGCGCTGGGTTGCGAAGCTGCCCGCGGCCTCTGCAGCGCCGGTTAGATCCCTAGCTGCTCCCCGGCCACCAGAGGAGGGTCCCACATGGCGCGCAGACCTCTCCTGCCGCCCGCTGCTCCCCTCAGCAGTGTACTTCAGTCCTTCTGCCTGCTCTGCTCCCTGCTCTGGCTCTGGTGAATTCTCTCACCCTCCCGCGCTTCTGACTGTACCCAGTGCTTGTATAAACAAACAAATAAATAAATACATGGAAAAAAAAAAAAAAAAGAAATTCAGCAGTCAGGAGACCACTGTTGGCTGGAGGTTTTGAAAGGAAGGGAATTAAAGCTGCCTCTAAAGAATAGATAGTAACTAGACTAGAAAGAGAGCAGAAGGGAGAGCATGTCAGGCAGAGAATGGCAAGAGCAAAGGCACAGAGAGAGCACCGAGTTTGGTGTATTTGGGGAACAGTGAGGAGGCCATATTGACTGGGGGAAAAAGAATCTGCTGATGGCGGTAGGGGCAAGGATGTTAAATGGCACATTTGGAATTTGGATGGGGAGATCCTCGCTGGTTTCATCTGTAAATCTGTAACCTCTAAGATGTGAGAAACCAAAAACGGTCCTTGAATTGACCTTTTCCTGGGATGGGTAGAGGGGCAAGCAGAGGGTGAAGCCTGCCTGAGACAAACCACTCCCCAGCTCACTCCTTTCCAGCCTTGCCTGGGTAAGGGCACGGTGGGGCTGGGTGTTGACGGGAGAGGAAAGGGGTAAGATCTAGTGTGATGTGGACGACTGACCCCTGGCGGTGACTCTGTAGAACTGCAGGTCAGTGAACTTCACATGGTGCTTTTCAGCACTGGGGCACCCTGATCGCCACGCCACAGTTGTCACTGAGACATCATCCCAGAACTGGACAAAGGGGGAAGGCTTCCTCCAGGGACAGTCCCCCTACACTGGGCCTCGTGGGTGGGCAAGCTGTCTAAAAGAACCAGTATAGTGTGGTGGTTTCAAGCGAAGGTTCAGAGTCAGACGGAGTTCAGTTGAGTTTCTGATCTTAGAGATTTGCTTTACCACCTTTTGCCTTAGTTCTACCGCATGCAATGTGGGAATAACAGACCTTCTTTCATAGATTTGTTGTGAAAATTCAATGTGATGTCTGTAAGCACATGGCACAAAATCTAGCACAGTGAGTGCTCAGTCAACAGTAGGCAGCAGTGGCAGAAACTCAGAGGCCAACATCTTCTGGCTCCCTGGTTCTGCAGGTCTTTCCCCACCACCTCCCCCACCCCCACAGCACGCACACACCCCTCCAGGAAGGAGCCGGGAAGAAGGGGGAGGGGCTCCAAGAATGCTCTAGCTGGGTAGTGGGTGGGTGGTT